ATCTTCACCATCGTCATCAGCATCTTTACTATCATTATCAAGAATTCGATCATCAGCGTAGCTCTCCACAGTACGCCAAACCTCGCCCGGAGAACTGAGTCCAACGCACGAGGGATCGTGCGGCAAAAGGGTAGCAGACGCAGCCTCAACATAGCGGAACCCAAAAAAGACGTGAGGAGGCAAAGACAATTGCGCTTGAATGGCACAGGAATTGTTGCATCTAGCAATAATTCAGGCCTCCCAAATGGGGCCAGAGCAGATGGGGTCGGAGGATCGTGCCCATCGCCGCATCGGCGATACATCGCCGCAGGAAATCCCCTAATTGGGGTCGCGCTGGATCCATTCCAATTCTCGTTGCACATCTTACTTCCGCACGTGCTTGCAAGTCAACTTCAAGGCCACAACGCCTAAGTCTGTTACATTGCCATGCTCCTATCCATTCGATGTGGAGCCCGATTTCCTCCACGCCGAAGGCGCCGATGCATCGTCGATGCACGGGCGATGCAACCGGAGATGCTGCGCGATCCTCCGACCCTATTTGCTCGGGCCCCATTTGGGAGGTCTCTAAGTAAGCGCCGCTCGCTGGTAGACCCTGAGATGATCCCGGGTCTCCCTGCGGGCACGCGGCCGCACATCTTTTACCAGCCTGGAACATATCCTTATCCCTATGCTGGGCACCTCCTCATCACGATGCCAATCTTAGGGATTCCCTTAGTTTTCCAGGGCGAATCCCTAAGATTGTCATCGCCTTTTGGCGCGTCAATCTTAAGGATAGGGATATGTTCCAGGCTGGTAAATCTTGTCAAAGGCGGCTTTGGCAGCGAAGGGCGGCAGGAAGGATGCGGCCGCCCCGGGCTGCCCCTTCTCGGCAGGAAGGTTGCGCCACAGCTGGAACACATGGTCTTTGTTCGCTGGGGCTCGCCGCTGGTCCTGGAAGGCGGCCTGTTGGCGCGTCATGCGATGATTCGCAGGACGTGTGTCAGCCCAAAATGTGTTTGCCCCGTTCAGCTCCGACGTTGTTGCGCGCAGCTGGTGTCAGCTTTCATGTTCACCGCTTTCGTCGTAGCTGAGGGCGTCGGTGGACAAGCACACGTTGGCGCCAACACATGTTCTGAGGATCATCGAGCAATGCTGGCATTCATCGTTGAATGCGGGTCAGTAAGCTTACGTAAGACAGGCCGCCTTGACGCGAATAGCATCAGCACCCGTCTTAAAGGCCAATCAGTCAGCAACTTCGTTATAGAAGCTCAGGTTGTCATCGTGTCCACTCAGCATTGGCCTGGCCTTGACCCGAAGAGGCGCGGGACCGTGCCAGGAACGAGTTCTTGATTATTCGGGCTGCTGAAGCTCTGCTGTCTCTGACCCGCCGGGGCCTCACCATGGCAATTTCCCCCTTGTCCTCGGCAGGCGGGATCGTTCTCCACCGCCGCAGACCACGAGCCAGCTACGCTGCCATCGCCAGGCAGCGGGCTGCTGAACGGCCCCCCGCCCCGCCTTTTCGTGCGCCAGGCTTGCTCCGACGAGCTTGGCGGCGTCCGTCTGGCGACCGGGGCCATCCGCCCCCTGGGCCGGGAGGCCAGCCTGCGGCGCAGCGGACAAGCCCTGGAGGTGCACCGAAGGGGGCTTCACAACAAAGCGAGTGTGGATTCGCCTGTGGAATCCATTGTGCTCATGGCCCACATTCACGGCGTTGTCGACATCCATGCCAAGGGGAGCAAATTGACCAAGGGCGTGTTCCGCATCGTTGGCGCCCAGACAGGGAACAAGCAAGCCTGCACGATGAGCCTGTCAATGCGTGCACGCCTTGACGACGGCTTGCTGGCCACTATTCTCCTACTTCCAGATGGCCCAGCGAAGCTGGGCTGCCGAGGCCATGGCTGCGCGGGAAAGCAAGAGGGAGAAACACTCCCCGTGGATTTTATCGGTTTCTTAATCGTTATTTTGCCGATCGGCTTTGGCGCCCGGTTCGAGCAGGTGGAGTCTCCCTCATGGGACGCACTGCTGCAAATAGTCGCACTAAACAAAGGTCCGGAGCCAGCCCACCCCCCCTTACGCCCAATGTCGAAGCGCAGAATAAGAAAACGCTCACCATGGCCCCAGGATCTACGATCTGTGATCTGGAGCTGCAGCCTTGCGGCCCAGACCATGTTTTGACTGAGCCCTGCTTCGGGTGCTGCCAGAGGTGGCCCTGGCTCAAGATGGCCCCAGCGCGTTCAGGAAGGCCCGCTCGGCTTCCAGGTGGCCCCTCTCTTCACGCAGCCCAGCGGGCCCCGGACGGTCCAACCTTGCGGCGCAAAAAGTTTTGGGCACCCTGGGCCAGGAACACCTTTGGCAACATCCGACTTCTATGTACCGCTGCGCTCGTTCCTTGCGTTCCTCGACAATGCCAGGGTCGCCGACGCATGTCGGAGCTGTTCTAGCGACCTCATTGCCGCCACGAGTCGCCGAGCTCGCACAGATCCCAGCATCTTTCGTTGCGCTGCCAGTGCAAGCTCAACTTCATATTTAACATCCGGAATCGATCCGCCAAGCCTCCTATCGAAGCAAATTGTTCTGCTGCCATTTGCGGTTATGAGTATGCCCAGCACACTGTCGAACGCGGATCCGACGTGCACAGTGGATCCCGGGTTGAAGAACGCTGCCAGATGATGCCCCTTTTTTCCTGTAGCCAGATCTACGTAGCCATCGCCCCAAGGGCATTTCTGTATCGAGAGGGGGGGCGTGCGGAAGCGCGTCAGGTCTTCTTGTGAGAAGAAGACGAAGTAGTTAGGGAGTGAGACGTAGCTTGGTTGCGCCTGTCAGGCTGCAGCTCAGGTGGCCATTGCGGCAGGAACATTCTTGCTTCATCCCCCTCATCCGGACCCGTAGCCATTGCGGCTCAAGCCAGGCTTGGCCCAAGTTCCCGCACGTTGGATTCCGTCGACCCCCGCCAGCGCGCCCAAGCCTGGCGGCTGCCACTTAGATGACGGTGCTCAGCACCATCGTGGGTGTGCTTCTCACGGCCACGGTGGCTCAAGGAGGGATCTACCCGGACGACCACTGGGAGCACGCGACGGAGCTCACGGCGGACACCGCAGACGCGTGGGTGCAGGAGAAGGTGGACGCCGGCAAGACGGCGCTCATACGGTGGATCGCCTCGGAGGGCTGAGGCTGATGAGTCAAGCAGGCCCCGGCCTGGAATGAAGTCGCTGCCAAGTTCAAGGGCAATCCTGATGTCGCGTTCGGGGACGTGTGCCTCTCCAAGAACCAGGTCAGAAAGATCCACGGGGTGGACCAGAGCCCCGGCGCAGGTGGCTGGCCCACCGTCCGCATCTTCAACAAAGAGACGGGGTACGGGGGGAAGGCCTACGAGAAGAAGACGAGCCAGGCCATGTGCGACGAGCTGGGCCCAAAGACGGAGTACATGCAGCAGCTGGTGGAGGAGTACGCGACCCTCTGCAGCATCGAGGACACCAGCAAGGGTTGCACCGACAAGCAGAAGGACTTCATCGCCAAGTGGGCCGAGAAGCCCCTGGACGAGATCAAGAAGCAGCACGACCGCCTCTCTAAAATGGTGGGTGGCGACATGAAGCCAGACGCGAAGCAGTGGGTCAAGCAGCGCATCAACGTCTTCAAGCAAGTGGCCAAGAGCAAGCACAGCGAGGAGCTCTAAGCTCTCGGCGCCTGCTTCGGCCGCGTGGGCAGTCCCACCGATCTGCTCACCCTCCCTCCCCGTTTGTCCTCCTCGTCCTACTCTGCCTCGTCATCACTCTCGCCCTCTTCCTGTGGGGCCCGGGGCGCCCGGGAGAGGCGGGCCCACAGTGGCGGCGACTGGTCACACATTTGTGGCGCGGGTGGCCCCAGCCTTTGGTGATGGAGGTCCCGAGGTCGACCGGTTCGGCCAATGACCTTCAGAGTGGCTGGGCAACCTGCGCCGATCTGCGTCAGCCTGCGCCGCGGCCTGAGTGCCTCCTGAGGGGGCCCTTCTCTCTTCTTTTTTGTCCTGGTAGGAAAAACTGATTGGTTCCTCGTAGACACAGGCATCCCGCGGCAGTGGCCCGGGCGTCCCGGAAAAAAAAAGAGCAGCTGCTTCCGTCATCCGCCCATATGGCCTCGGAAGCAGGGCCAGGAAGCAGCCAAAGCAGCCAAAGCATAGGTATGCGCTCGTCCAGACGGCCAGGCTGGGCTTCTGCATCACCTCTGCATCCACTTGGGGAGGGGGAAGAGCCCGGGGAGAGTGATGCGGAGGAAGGGATGGAGGGGGGATGGCAAGGAGGAGGAGGAGGAGGAGGAGGAGGAGAATTGGGCTACCCTTGCACTTGGCCTGAGCCTGAGCAAACGAGGATCCAACGAACCCAAAGTCATTCCAGCCAGATTTGTTCAGGGGGGGGGGGGGAGAAGGTTGAGGATGAGGAGGAGGAGGGTGGGGAGGGAAGGAGGAGGATGGAGGAGGGAGGGGAGAGCGGTAGGGAGATGGCCGCTCTGGAGACCTCGGCTGATCTCCGTAGATGCCTTCGACTGGGGCATCACGTCTCGCAGAGGCGTGGCGGTGCCCGCCGAGAGGGTCCAAGGTGTCGCGGTGAGCGCTGCCAGAAGTTGCAGGATGGTTGGAGGAAGGAGGGGCAGGGGTGGAGGAGGGAGGAAGCGGGGGAAGGAGAGCGGGGAGGAGGGAGAAAGTGGGTGGGGGGGCAGGGTGAGCGCGGGGAGGATAACAAGCGGGAGGAGGGAGGAGCAGGAGGCGGAGGACTAGGCGGAGGCGATAAAGAAGAGGATGATCCGAAGAGAGGCGGAGAGAGGCGCAGGATGTGAAGCGAGGATCGGGGCGGAAGGATGAGCTCGGAGGAGCCAAATCGAGACGGAGAGAGGAGAGGGTCCCCATGCGCCCTCCTCCCTCATCCCCCTCATCCTCGTGTCCGTTCTTACGTAGCCATTGCGGCTCAAGCCAGGCTTGGCCCAAGTTCCCGCACGTTGGATTCCGTCGACCCCCGCCAGCGCGCCCAAGCCTGGCGGCTGCCACTTAGATGACGGTGCTCAGCACCATCGTGGGCGTGCTTCTCACGGCCACGGTGGCTCAAGGAGGGATCTACCCGGACGACCACTGGGAGCACGCGACGGAGCTCACGGCGGACACCGCAGACGCGTGGGTGCAGGAGAAGGTGGACGCCGGCAAGACGGCGCTCATACGGTGGATCGCCTCGGAGGGCTGAGGCTGATGAGTCAAGCAGGCCCCGGCCTGGAATGAAGTCGCTGCCAAGTTCAAGGGCAATCCTGATGTCGCGTTCGGGGACGTGTGCCTCTCCAAGAACCAGGTCAGAAAGATCCACGGGGTGGACCAGAGCCCCGGCGCAGGTGGCTGGCCCACCGTCCGCATCTTCAACAAAGAGACGGGGTACGGGGGGAAGGCCTACGAGAAGAAGACGAGCCAGGCCATGTGCGACGAGCTGGGCCCAAAGACGGAGTACATGCAGCAGCTGGTGGAGGAGTACGCGACCCTCTGCAGCATCGAGGACACCAGCAAGGGTTGCACCGACAAGCAGAAGGACTTCATCGCCAAGTGGGCCGAGAAGCCCCTGGACGAGATCAAGAAGCAGCACGACCGCCTCTCTAAAATGGTGGGTGGCGACATGAAGCCAGACGCGAAGCAGTGGGTCAAGCAGCGCATCAACGTCTTCAAGCAAGTGGCCAAGAGCAAGCACAGCGAGGAGCTCTAAGCTCTCGGCGCCTGCTTCGGCCGCGTGGGCAGTCCCACCGATCTGCTCACCCGCCCTCCCCGTTTGTCCTCCTCGTCCTACTCTGCCTCGTCATCACTCTCGCCCTCTTCCTGTGGGGCCCGGGGCGCCCGGGAGAGGCGGGCCCACAGTGGCGGCGACTGGTCACACACTTGTGGCGCGGGTGGCCCCAGCCTTTAGTGATGGAGGTCCCGAGGTCGACCGGTTCGGCCAATGACCTTCAGAGTGGCTGGGCAGCCTGCGCCGATCTGCGTCAGCCTGCGCCGCGGCCTGAGTGCCTCCTGAGGGGGCCCTTCTCTCCTCTTCTTTGTCCCGAGTAGCACCTGGTAGGAAAAACTGATTGGTTCCTCGTAGACACAGGCATCCCGCGGCAGTGGCCCGGGCGTCCCGAAAAAAAAAGAGCAGCTGCTTCCGTCATCCGCCCATATGGCCTCGGAAGCAGGGCCAGGAAGCAGCCAAAGCAGCCAAAGCATAGGTATGCGCTCGTCCAGACGGCCAGGCTGGGCTTCTGCATCACCTCTGCATCCACTTGGGGAGGGGGAAGAGCCCGGGGAGAGTGATGCGGAGGAAGGGATGGAGGGGGGATGGCAAGGAGGAGGAGGAGGAGGAGGAGGAGGAGAATTGGGCTACCCTTGCACTTGGCCTGAGCCTGAGCAAACGAGGATCCAACGAACCCAAAGTCATTCCAGCCAGATTTGTTCAGGGGGGGGGGGGGAGAAGGTTGAGGATGAGGAGGAGGAGGGTGGGGAGGGAAGGAGGAGGATGGAGGAGGGAGGGGAGAGCGGTAGGGAGATGGCCGCTCTGGAGACCTTGGCTGATCTCCGTAGATGCCTTCGACTGGGGCATCACGTCTCGCAGAGGCGCGGCGGTGCCAGCCGAGAGGGTCCAAGGTGTCGCGGTGAGCGCTGCCAGAAGTTGCAGGATGGTTGGAGGAAGGAGGGGCAGGGGTGGAGGAGGGAGAAAGCGGGGGAAGGAGAGCGGGGAGGAGGGAGAAAGTGGGTGGGGGGGCAGGGTGAGCGCGGGGAGGATAACAAGCGGGAGGAGGGGGCGGAGGAGCAGGAGGCGGAGGACTAGGCGGAGGCGATAAAGAAGAGGATGATCCGAAGAGAGGCGGAGAGAGGCGCAAGATGTGAAGCGAGGATCGGGGAGGAAGGATGAGCTCGGAGGAGCCAAATCGAGACGGAGAGAGGAGAGGGTCCCCATGCGCCCTCCTCCCTCATCCCCCTCATCCTCGTGTCCGTTCTTACGTAGCCATTGCGGCTCAAGCCAGGCTTGGCCCAAGTTCCCGCACGTTGGATTCCGTCGACCCCCGCCAGCGCGCCCAAGCCTGGCGGCTGCCACTTAGATGACGGTGCTCAGCACCATCGTGGGCGTGCTTCTCACGGCCACGGTGGCTCAAGGAGGGATCTACCCGGACGACCACTGGGAGCACGCGACGGAGCTCACGGCGGACACCGCAGACGCGTGGGTGCAGGAGAAGGTGGACGCCGGCAAGACGGCGCTCATACGGTGGATCGCCTCGGAGGGCTGAGGCTGATGAGTCAAGCAGGCCCCGGCCTGGAATGAAGTCGCTGCCAAGTTCAAGGGCAATCCTGATGTCGCGTTCGGGGACGTGTGCCTCTCCAAGAACCAGGTCAGAAAGATCCACGGGGTGGACCAGAGCCCCGGCGCAGGTGGCTGGCCCACCGTCCGCATCTTCAACAAAGAGACGGGGTACGGGGGGAAGGCCTACGAGAAGAAGACGAGCCAGGCCATGTGCGACGAGCTGGGCCCAAAGACGGAGTACATGCAGCAGCTGGTGGAGGAGTACGCGACCCTCTGCAGCATCGAGGACACCAGCAAGGGTTGCACCGACAAGCAGAAGGACTTCATCGCCAAGTGGGCCGAGAAGCCCCTGGACGAGATCAAGAAGCAGCACGACCGCCTCTCTAAAATGGTGGGTGGCGACATGAAGCCAGACGCGAAGCAGTGGGTCAAGCAGCGCATCAACGTCTTCAAGCAAGTGGCCAAGAGCAAGCACAGCGAGGAGCTCTAAGCTCTCGGCGCCTGCTTCGGCCGCGTGGGCAGTCCCACCGATCTGCTCACCCGCCCTCCCCGTTTGTCCTCCTCGTCCTACTCTGCCTCGTCATCACTCTCGCCCTCTTCCTGTGGGGCCCGGGGCGCCCGGGAGAGGCGGGCCCACAGTGGCGGCGACTGGTCACACACTTGTGGCGCGGGTGGCCCCAGCCTTTGGTGATGGAGGTCCCGAGGTCGACCGGTTCGGCCAATGACCTTCAGAGTGGCTGGGCAGCCTGCGCCGATCTGCGTCAGCCTGCGCCGCGGCCTGAGTGCCTCCTGAGGGGGCCCTTCTCTCTTCTTTTTTTGGTTCGAGTGGCACCTTGTAGGAAAAATTGATTGGTTCCTCGTAAACACAGGCATCCCGCGGCAGTGGCCCGGGCGTCCCGAACAAAAAAAAAAGAGCAGCTGCTTCCGTCATCCGCCCATATGGCCTCGGAAGCAGGGCAGGGAAGCAGCCAAAGCAGCCAAAGCATAGGTATGCGCTCGACCAGACGGCCAGGCTGGGCTTCTGCATCACCTCTGCATCCACTTGGGGAGGGGGAAGAGCCTGGGGAGAGCGATGCGGAGGAAAAGATGGAGGGGGGATGGCAAGGAGGTGGAGGAGGAGGAGGAGGAGGAGGAGAAGTAGGAGGAGAATTGGGCTACCCTTGCACTTGGCCTGAGCCTGAGCAAACGAGGATCCAGCGAACCCAAAGTCATTCCAGCCAGAGTTGTTCAGGGGGTGGGGTGAGAAGGTTGAGGAGGATGAGGAGGAGGAGGAGGAGGAGGGTGGGGAGGGATGGAGGAGGATGGAGGAGGGAGGGGACAGCGGTAGGGAGATGGCCGCTTTGGAGACCTCGGCTGATCCCCGTAGATGCCTCATGCGACTGAGGCATCCCGTCTCGCAGAGGCGCGGCGGTGGCGAGTGGGTCCAAGGTGTCGCGGTGAGTGTTTCCGGAAGTTGCAGGATGGTTGGAGGAAGGAGGGGCAGGGGTGGAGGAGGGAGAAGGAGGGGGAAGGAGAGCGGGGAGGAGGGAGAAAGTGGGTGGGGGGGCAGGGCGAGCGCGGGGAGGATAATAAGCGGGAGGAGGGGGCGGAGGAGCAGGAGGCGGAGGACTAGGCGGAGGCGATAAAGAAGAGGATGGTCCGAAGGGAGGCGGAGAGAGGCGGAGGAGGAAGAGGGAGACGAGGAGGATGTGAAGCGAGGATCGGGGAGGAAGGATGAGCTCGGAGGAGCCAACGCGAGACGGAGAGAGGAGAGGGTCCCCATGCGCCCTCCTCCCTCATCCCCCTCATCCTCGTGTCCGTTCTTACGTAGCCATTGCGGCTCAAGCCAGGCTTGGCCCAAGTTCCCGCACGTTGGATTCCGTCGATCCCCGCCAGCGCGCCCAAGCCTGGCGGCTGCCACTTAGATGACGGTGCTCAGCACCATCGTGGGCGTGCTTCTCACGGCCACGGTGGCTCAAGGAGGGATCTACCCGGACGACCATTGGGAGCACGCGACGGAGCTCACGGCGGACACCGCAGACGCGTGGGTGCAGGAGAAGGTGGACGCCGGCAAGACGGCGCTCATACGGTGGATCGCCTCGGAGGGCTGAGGCTGATGAGTCAAGCAGGCCCCGGCCTGGAATGAAGTCGCTGCCAAGTTCAAGGGCAATCCTGATGTCGCGTTCGGGGACGTGTGCCTCTCCAAGAATCAGGTCCGCCTCCCGTTCTTGTTGTACTTCTCCCATCCTTTCCACCCACCCCCTCTATACTTTTCCTCATGTCATGTGAGCCAGCTTGGAGCCAACACACAGTGAGTTATTGTATGGTGGAAGCTCAAACAATAAGTTTTCGCACTCTGGTGATAGAAGCTGTGTGGTGGAAGCCAGGTGGTGGAGGCTACAGAAGCTAAGTGGTGCAGGCTGCGTGGTGCAAGCTATGTGGTGGGAAATCTGTGGCGGCGAACGTGCGGCAACGGGCCTGAAACGAGCGGCCACCGGTCCTCCTCCTCCTCCTCCTCCTCCTCCTCCTCCTCCTCCTCCAGCGTGGCGAATCTCCGACGCACCCACACCAGGGGCTGACCAGAGCGTGAATTACCTACCCCGCTGTCGCTTCCAGGCAAAACCAGGTCATACCACGCGCCTCCTCGTCAAGCGGCCTGACCAGCGCAGGCCGTAGTTTGGCGTCGCTTGGTATCTCTTGTGAGCGAGGGTGGTCAAAAGCGAGGTAGGTTTGTTTGCGCCCTAGCTAACCCACACCACACCCGTCCAGACTTCCAAAGTGCAAGCGTTGCCTGGGAAACTCAGGGCCCATGAGTACAAGCACGGCACGGGGAATGAGACAGCTGCGTAGAAATAAAGACAGGCACGGACGCCCAAGTGCAAGCATTGTGTGGGGAATAAGTCATATTTCCTCAGTGCGCCACCAGGCGTGACAGTATGGCGATCCGCGCGTCTCGTCCGAAGCCTCCCTACCCGCTCGCGGCCCTGAGCTCCAGTACCTCATCAGTGACACAAGGCGGAGGGCTGCCCGCCTTCAAGGCGCAGGTCTCGCCACATCGTCGCGCACTTTGGTCGTGGTAGGTTCCAGCAGTCCCTCTCACTCCTCCTCCTCCTCTTCCTCCTCCTCCTCCTCTTCCTCCTCCTCCTCCTCCTCCTCCTCCTCCTCCTCCTCCTCCCTACTCCTCCTCGTCATCGCCGACTCTTGTTACCGTGCCGCGAGCGACGAGTGACAACGCTGGCCCCTCAGTGTTAGCACAGCAATTACTGACGACGCCTGCGACAAATCGCCCCCCTTGTTGTGTGGAAGCGACGGGCCAGAGTCTGGCCCAGCTGTTGGGCGATGTGTTCCCCAAGCTCTTGTGGAGACCCTGGGGGGAACACTTCGGGGATGAAGCGAGAGGGGAGGCGAGGGACTGAAGACTGTATCATACGATACGATGTTTTCCCAACATGCAGATTGACGCATGGTGAGAAGACCACGCCGGCCGTGACTCGCTGCCCACCCGAGACGGCTTGGTGCTTTCGGCGGCAAGGTCACTTGAAGTATTAACCGTGGTTTCAGGTTTACCCGCCAGGAAGACCACAAACAACCCTGTCGATTCGAGTGGCATGCACAACTGGTCTTTATGAATACGACCAACCCAGGGCGGGTGGGCACAAGGTCCCATGGGGTTTACGGACCACACGACTCCACCTCCCGACCAGCTGCGCAACCCCCGCGCTTGGTACCAATCTCCACGGTTCCGGCGGAGCTGAGGCGCCACATGCGAATCAGCTAATCGCCTGCCGCTGGTTCCGACAATTGGACCCGATTGCTGTTCTCCTTACATTGGTATCGCTCGGACATGTGCACTTTTCCTCGGCGGGGATTCTTAAGGAGCGTCCTGGATCATTTGGTGAAAAACCACGCGCGAAACAAAAAAAGCACAGGGAATGGACGTCCGAGCGATGGCGAGCCGTACGTGCTGCAGCGGGCAGCCCTGATGGTGTGCCTTGTACGTGAAGGCTGAGTACCAGGATGTGGTATACCCAGCGCCCGCGCGTGGGGCGGGGGGGTGAGAGGGAGGAGAAGAAGGAGGAAGGAGGAAGAGGAAGAGGAAGAGGAATACGAAGAAGAGGAATACATATAAACATCATGATAATAATACTCAGAAGAAGAAATAGAAGAAGAATAAGAAGAAGAAAAAGAAGAGTAGGCCTTTTGGGGTCATCTTGAGGCCTCGCTGGGGCTTCGTGGCCTCCCCAGGAGGGGCCTCAGAGAAGGGACCTCTTGGGGGCATCCTGGGGCCGCCGGCGGACATCGTAGGGGCCGCTGGGGGCCTGCATGGCCCCTCTTGGCTCTCGGAGGCAGTCTTGTGGGCCTCGCTGGGCCGTCTTGGGGCCCTCCTGGGGCACTGTAGGATCGTGCTGGAGGCCTGTGGGGTCGTCTTGGGGGCCTCACTGGATCTCTGGCGTGCCGTGTCGTCCTGCCGCTGCCAGAGTTCGGTGCCCACCTCATTTCAGGAGGGAGAGAAACACACAGACACGATGAATCGTCGACTCCCAGGAAGATCATGGAAAATATGGGAAGTGGGGGGGAGACGAAAACCCTGACAATATGGGAACGTATGGGTAATCCTGTTGTTTGTGTGTATTGATTTGTGTGTCCATGGGCCCCTTGATCACTCGCTGCTCGGTGGCACGGGCGAGTTGCGTCAGAGCGCGGGGCTGCACGCGTGGCCCTGCCGTGCCGGAGGTACCCAGAGGAGGTAGACTTCAGTCGGGCCTGTCCCTCTACAGGGGGAATATTCAAAGATAGTCAAACAAATAGTCTGGGGACGATTTCCCTACTTTAATGTTTGAGCATGTTGGGGTATTTTTGCCTACTTTTTAAACTTTCGTCCAAAATCCCCCTGTAGGGGGACAGGCCCGACTCAAAAGTAGACGTGACGCCGACTCGGGCGCCCCCCCCCCCCTGCATCCGCCCATCCACCTCATCCCTCCCCCCCTTCCGCTCCTTGCCATCCTTCTCGCCACGTGCCAGGTCCGGAAGATCCATGGGGTGGACCAGAGCCCCGGCGCTGGGGGCTGGCCCACCGTCCGCATCTTCAACAAGGATCGGCACCGCGTCAGTGTCACCCTTCGCCGGAGTGACCTCCTGGTGCGGGCGCACGGGGCTCCCACCAGCACTGGCGGGCGCTTGGATTGCTTGGATTCGGCTTCCTCTGCGGCCCCCTGCAGCCGCACACCAGAGATCGCCCTTGCCTAGGGTCAGTCTTGCATGCAGCCGAGAGGAGACGGGCTACGGCGGGAAGGCCTACGAAAAGAAGACGAGCCAGGCCTCCAGCTCCCAGGAGAAAATCCGGAGGGCGATTTGCTTCCTGTTCCCAGTGATCCGTTTCATATCAATGGGGCCCGCCAAGAGCAGACCGTGACCCGAAATCAGCGCGAAAGATGGGGTCGAAATCTGTCTGCCAACAGCAGGGGTGCCCATGAATAATTTATAGAGAACCCCCCAGCTTGAGAGATCACT